GGCAATATCTACAGCGGCTGTGCAACGGTCTCTAACCTCTCACCCAACCTTTGGATCATCATTGCTTGGGCCGCTACAGAGTACAGCCTGGTGATCATTGGAAATGACGATCCAAGTGCATGATATCACCTGGTTCTCACCCCCCTACTCGAGCTTCACATGTTCTGGCCGGTTCCAAAATACAAATCCTGCTGTTTCTAGAGCAGGTTGCGCAAGCAAGCTAAGGACCAACACAAATACTACATCCGTCCCAAAAAAGATGCAACCCCAGAATAATACTAATTTTAAACGTTCCCAAATATTTGACCAAATCTATATAAACAACTATAAATCTTTTAGTATGCTGAATAAGTACCGGTAGATTTATTGCGGAATATATTTTTTTATAATGATACAACTATTTAGAGCCACAAGCTAGTGTGATATTTTTTTTCTATAAATTCGGTTAAACATAAATCAATTTGATTATTAAGTGCATCTTTTTTTTGGAACGGGAATAATAGAGAGAGAACACGTAAGAGATTGCAACGACCAGGCATCCCCAACGCCCAGAGCATGCGTCTGGCGCGCTGTTGCCCCAGTCGGCAACCGAGTTCTGTAACAAGAAGAAAGGAGAGAGCATCTCCTTCCCCTCAAGGTCTGAAATAACACGCAAGAAATCGACCACGTGTCAACGTGAGACATTCGTCAATGCCTGCCTGCCATGAATCTCCTTCAAATTAAACTCCAAGAATGCAAGTACGCCATGAACATATCATGCATCCCGCTTCCAAATATCTCCATGCATGCTGCGCAGCACCTGCACTTGCCTATAAAAGGTCGGCACATGCCAGTGTGCAAAACCAAGCTTAGTGGACTCGTGTCAGCGCGTCACACTGCTCTTACGCCTAGCTAGCTCGTGTCCAGAGCTAGCAAAGCAGTCGGCAATGGATCGCCGCGTGAGCCTTGCCACCGGGAGCGTGAACGTGCTGATCCCCGACCACGACCAGCTGCCGACGCTGTTCGAGCCGCAGAAGGCGGTGATAACCCCGCCCCCGCGCGTCCGCGCGAGCGTCGTCGACGACGAAGACAACCCGGCGCCGCCGGAGCGCCGGCTGACCATGCTGGCGCTCCAGCTCGCGGTGCTCGAGAAGGCGGCCAGCCGGCTCGGCACGCTGGGCTTCATCTGGGCCACGGTCGTGCTGCTCGCCGGCTTCGCCATCACGCTGGGGCAGACCGACTTCTGGTGCATCACCACCCTGCTGCTGGTGGAGGGCGTCCGGATCCTGGGCCGCAGCCACGAGCTGGAGTGGCAGCACGAGACCACGGGCCGCGCGCCCGTGTCGTGGGCCGTCGGCCGCGTTTTCCACTGGCTGCAGCTGCTGTCCGCGTCCTCCTGCGCCGCGCTCTCGCTACTCCGCCTCGTCCACCAGCGCTACGACGGCAGCGAGCTGGCCCGCGTCAACCGCCACTCGGCGCTCGACATATTCTACGGCCTCGCGCTCGCCGAGGCGCTGCTGTTCCTCGTCGAGAAGGCGCTGTGGCAGTGGACGGTGGGCCACCACCGCCTGTTGGAGCGCGTCGCCGCAGACTGCCACCTCGCCACCGACTGCGGCGCCGTCGCCGTCCGCCGCTTCTTCTATGACTCCTACTCCCGGTGCCTAAACGGCAGCATCTTCGACGGCCTGCACATGGACCTCGTGTTCTACGCCGACGACCTCCTCACGGCGGGCTCGCACGACGAGCAGCGCCTCGGCGCCAGCATCCTCGCGGCGCTCGTCGAGTCCGACCGCTTCGCTGACGCTACGCTCCGCAAGATCGGCACGTCCGGGCCCAGCATCGAGCGCCTCATCGAGATGCTCAGCTGGAAGAACGCCTCGGAGAAGGACGTGCGCCGCTCCGCGGCGGTCGTCGTGTTCATGCTCACCGGAAGGAAGCTCGACGCGCTCCGCGTCACCCGCATTCCAGGCGCTATGGAGTCCGTGGCTTCCTTGCTCTACGCCGACCTCGACGAGCTCAACCTCCTCGGGCTGTCCATCCTCAACAACCTGGCGCGCGACCACGACAACTGCGACAAGATCGGGAAGACCAGGGGCCTTCTCGACAGGATCATCTCCTACTCGGGCATAGTAGCAAACGGGCCGCCGACAGGCATGCGCCTCAAGGCGGTGAAGCAGTCGCTCCGCGTTGTGAAGAGGCTGGCGAGCACGACGGGGACCACCGGAAAGCTGCTTCGGAGGGAGCTCTCTGACATTGTGTTCACCGTGAGCAACGTCAGGGAGGTGCTGCAGCAGCAGGACGAGAAGGGCGTGTCCGAGCTGCACCGCCTGGCGATCGAGATACTGACGAACCTCGCCATGGACGAGGAGGCGAGGGAGATGATCGGCACCACAGGGGGTGTGGTCAGCACGCTGGTGGCGATGTTCTTGCCGGAAAAGCAGGAGGCAGCGCCCGACCGGCACAAGGACGCGGTTCGGGTGGAGGCCGGCGAGGCTTTGGCAATGCTGGCGCTGGGCAGCCGCAGGAACTGCGGCGCGATCATCATGGCGTTCGGAAGAGGTGTGGAGCGGCTCGTCGAGGCGCTGAGTGATCCCATCGTCGTCATCAGCGCCGCAAGGATCCTGCGCAACCTGTGCACCTACGCTGGGGACGAGTGGCAGCTTACACTGAGAGGAGTCACCACCGGCGCCACCAAGGTAGTTTCTGTGCATGTGCATCGGCTATGGTGTCATTGATTTGGCCATCAACCATTTCCTAATCTTTTCTTCTTCTTCCTGACGGCTGACGCACAGGTGCTGCGCAATATCATGGTGGAGAAGACGAAGCTCCTCAACATCTCCCTCATTCCTCGCGGCGCAGATGCTCCGGTTCATGCAGCCTGGGGAGCTCCGCGCGAGCCTCGCCACGGCGGGCGTCACGGACGCGGCGCTGGCGCGGACGCTGGTGCTGGTCCTTCGGGAGTACAGCCGCCCGTCCCTGTTGGTGCCGCGTATCCGGCTGTACACGCTGGAGCTCGCCATCGCGCTGATGCGGTCGGACGCGCGCTTCGTGACGCTCTTCGTGGAGCTCGGGATGGAGGCCGAGCAGAGGCGCGTCGCGGAAACCACCTCCGGCCTCGAGTGCTTCAACGTGTTCTCCGGCAGCGTCGGGCTCAGCCGCCGCGCCGTCAGCGTCGCCTCGCTCGTCGACTCCGCCGTGGAGCTCATGAGGCAGCAGGCCTGACACGTCAGTCACAGATGCGCTGAAAAGTGATTTACACGGCTGAAAACTCTGTATTCGGTTTGATTGTACGGTATTTGCATTGTAGTATTTCTATATGCTTATGCTTTCTTGTATCACTGAAAGTGCGATAAAGGGTTATTATGGCTACTATTTCGATGGCATTGTTCTGTCTGTGCATGTTTTATTCTAATAAACGTCTCCTATATACTAGGTGGTGCCCCGCGCTTCGCCGCATGCCGATGGCTTTCTTGGCTGCTATAAACACCTATCACACGGTTTTATATAAGGAAAAAAAAATAGAGAACAAACAGGGAGTTGCTAAATAACAGGCGCCTGATTTTTACATTCTTTTCAGGCGACAAACACCATCCATCTAGTCTAAATCCAACGATCAGTAATCATTCTCAACCCCTGGCCGCACACCTTTTCCCTTGCTAGTAGTCCATCGTCTTCACTTTCAGGCACATGTAGGATAGGAAATGTGGAACACATAATTCAGCAAAGAGGAACCTTTCTTTGTCACATTATTTTATTGTAGGGAAAAGGATGTAGGAACATATATTATTTTTGTTTAGTGAGAAACAATGAGAATAAGAGATTTGAGCAATCAAAGTATACTTGGCCCTTTTTTTTATATAGATATTTGAGGAGATTTTTTTCTGTAATGGGAATGCTTGGATGAAGGCAGCTTTAGCTAATGTCATGTAACCAATGTATGGACAGAGATAAGAGCTCTCGGTATTCGTAGCCAAAATGGATGGATAATACAATTGCGCAATCAAAACCATCCAAACTATTTCTAATACAAAAGAAGAAAGTTGGCATGTTTGCTTTCAAATTGTAAGAATAATACAGAGCGGAGAAGGTGTTGCACATTCCTTGTAGGTGCGGGTGCTCTACAAAAAGGTTTTCAGATGAAGTCAGGGGGGACACCATAGTTTTGAGTTTTCAAAAAGGACAGACAACTTAGCTATGAATATAGGTATTGGATGGCACAGACCATAGGGCACATACTAATTCAGTTGGGTGGTACCGTGGCATTTGTACAACTTAGCTATGAATTCAGCAGGCAAGGCATCTGTGTACATGAACCGTACCATAATTTTAATAGTGGCGAAGTCGATGTCCTGCAGCATGATGGATGGCACCGTGGCTTCTGTCATTGAGCCGAAGAGGTCTGCTCTGAAGACTGGTCAGCAGGCAGCGAGCACAGCACGGTGAGCAGGGAATGACTCGTTGCCGACAATGAACAATAATACATCAGACCCGGAGTTGCAATCCAACAGGTCAGAAAAATGGCTCCAATGAAGAAAATATGATATGATATGATTAATGGAAACAATGCCCAGAGAAATAGTTTTTTACAAACAAAGACATGTTTATTAACACTTCGGCGACAGGGGCCCTCCTGCACAACCAGCAACCTATATGAAGTTCTGAACTCCCATACAACGGATGTTATATACATGGGCCCAAAAAATGAAGAACCTCTCACAGAAGTGCCAAACCAAATGGGTTTCCAACACATGGCTCCAGAGTCCAGAGAGCAAAGAGCATCTCCTCTGCAGTTTTCACTTTTCCTAACTTCTAATTCTAAACATGCAGTATACTTCTACAGGGTGGGAAAGGTCGGTGAATATACTACTGTACTACAAACTGCAAATCTATGTTATATATATAGAAGGGGTGCCACTTCACTGAGCTAACGACGTCATTCAAGGAACTCTTGTGCTCTTTTTGCCTCTTCTCTTCTAGCTGTGATGCCTCGTTCAGCATGTCCACGGCGTCACTCTGCATGTTTAGCTTGATAGTGCAACTGCCTGCATGTAGAATGCTGTCGGCCAATCAGGGTAGACGATCTGTGCTTGCATTGCATCACGGAGGGCAGCATCAGGTTGGTCACACATAAGGTAGCACAAGCTTCGTCTGGCGAATACAGTAGGTGACACCATTGTCCCCACATCGACAAACTGTGAAACAGACACAGGGAAGGAAGAATCAGCTACATTAGAGTGTTCTTTTTATTTTAGATAAATGGAATAAACCAAACTATCCCAGTCTCTATCTAGGGGCTATTAAAGGCTTTTCATGAACAAGAAACGCATGCCCACCTGGCTGTACAATCGATTGCTGCCTTAAAATCTTTGTCTTTGAAGGCAGAGTCGCCACGTTTCCTTGCATCCAACATATCCCTCATCTGCTGTGTCCATTCTTGAAAAGATAGCTGCAGAATGGAGAATGATGCCAGTTTCACAGATCCTACAAAACAGAAAGATTGGAACCAGAATGCACTCATTTATTTTACCTCATTGTTCCCTTCATCATCTCTGTAATGTGCTGTAAATAGGATTTGATGGATGGCAGTTAGGTCCATTCTGGAACAGGCTTCTCCCATGGGAGAAAGAGGGTGCTGTGGAGTAGGAGGTGCCTGTGGTTCTTCCACTGGCTTTGGAATTCCAAGCATCACACAGGACGGTACCTGTTCCATATTTTTCAAGGTAAACAGCAGGAATCATCAGGGTCGTTTTGGTGTTATGCAGACACCCGTGTCCTAATTATTCAGCTATGTTAAACACCCACACCCATTTTGGATTCCAAATGGTATTTGGCGTCATGGCGTATCCCCAAAAGATCTGCCGAATTGGACACCCGAGCCCGACCCGGACACAGACACCCGCACCCGTGTCCATGTAGTGTGTTTAGAATTTTGTGGTAAACCATACGCTTTTGTAAGAGATATAATATATCTAACAAAAATACTAGTAAGACAGGTATTTGCTTATGTTTATCTGAATATTTTGCAAAGATAGCATTCAAAGACAACATGGTAACATAATCTATCTGTGCAGTAATGCAGAAAAACATCTACTATACACAGTCTAACAAAGTGAACACAATGAGGATTTCACTGTTCTGTTTTAACCTTTACTATTATACCATGCAAAGTATTAGGTTGCTGCAGCACAGGGGAAGGAGTGAAGCAATATCACACAGTAGTGAGGATTTCAGTTCAGTTTTAACGTTTACTGTCTCATGCCAAGTATTAAGTTACTGCTATACAAGGCAAGGAATGGAGCAATATCACATAGTACCTGTGGAAGTTACAGTTATTACCATGAACCAGTGTTTTTTTTTTTTTTGACCGAATGCATGAACCAGTGTGATGCTAGGACATTAAATATACTCCTTTCACAAAGACTGAGTTACCTCTAATTTTGTCTGCAAAGGCTCCAGAATGGAAACCAATTTTTTTATGTCAGGCCGATCTCTTGGCTCATATTGTAGACACTGAGAAACAAGGTTCACCAATGTAGTAGCCACCTCAGTTGAGTAGTTCCTCCAAATGTGAATCCATAACTGCTTGGATGTTTCTGCCTCTCATGATATCAAGTGCCTGCGTGCAACAAACGCATACATGCATTATTACCAGCGCGGCATACATCGAGAAAAAAAAAAGCAGCGTGCATACATGTAATGTATGTGTGTTTAGTTTTATGCTTGGATAACAAATTGTGCAGGGTGTCATTTCCACAGTGCAGATTGTGCTCAAATTATATGAGCTAAAGATGTGCCAGAGATTCAGTTTGAGAAAAAAAATCAATGCAATCTGCAAGCATGGGTGTTCTGCCTGTATCCAACAGGCATGTGTATTTCTATATTTTTTGAAACAGGCCTCATATCTAACGAAGCATAAGACATTTCTAGCAAGAAATTTACATGTGAAGGCGGTATGCGTTTCCCACTGAGAAGGTCAAGGAGTACAGTGCCGAAACTGAATATGACACTTTCTGGAGTAACCCTGCCTGCAAGAACAAAACTTTCCTCAGAAAAATATACACTTGAAGTGTTTCTTGCTGTTTTGTTTGGTCATTACTTATTGATTTCAATAACATACAGAGACCAAGGACCCACTAACCAGAGTACCAGACCATCTCAAAGCACCTGGTAACTGCCTTACCAAGGGCGCAATATGCTCAATTTAAACAGCACATACACGGGAATCAGAAAACCATGAACTGAGTCACTGGTCCTACCAAAAAGCTAAATTCCAGATGTACGCTATTTTGTCTTTTAAAAGAAAAAAATCAACACTACAATTATGGAACTCAACTTTCAGAAATCATGTCACTATAATAGTAACAACAAAAAAATGTTTGTTTGCCGGAATCTATCAGTTATACTGAGCATTGAGCAAGTGTTGAAAAAGATATTTTCCACTGGTAAGTGCAGTAGAATAATGGCAATCAGAAAGACAGTGTTATAAACATAACTAAGTTTAATAAGAGAAACCACTGAGATACTTAAAAAGGTGAAATATTTCGTTACTTAAGATGAAACTAAAAACTGCTTGCAGAAAAAAAAAAGGATGAAAGTGAAGAGATAGGCACCATTTCTCAGATATTCTGGAGGTGTATATGCTAGGTTTGTGCTATAGCTTTTTCCATCCCTGCTGTTTTTCATCAGACCAAAGCATGACAGACGAGGGTCACCATTCTGCAATCAGAAAGTTCATTATAACTACAAAATTTCGTTTGAAAATAAGACAATTAGTACAAAATGACATATTCAACTGCTGGATGCAATTAGGAGTATCAATTTATAAAACATAATTTTCAAAACTGTTTACAAAATAACACAATACATGCCAATATGCCATGATATGAGTCCAATATAAGTTCTGCCAATCCCAGTTTAATACTAATGGTATTGCCAGACACAATAAATATAACTAGTAAAAATGTCGTGGATATAATTATCAAGGACATGTGCCACATGGTCATCAACCCAGCGCATTAATCAGGCTTTATGCACCACTTGCAGTACCCTATATTCAAACAAGGTGCACAGGTTGCCCATTTACCTCATCAAAGAGGACCCTGTATGCATTTAGGTCATGATATAAAGGCCGCCCCTTGATACTACAGTATTCCAATGCTTGCGAAATGTAGTATGCAACCCTCAGACGCATAGCCCATTCAATAGTCTGATTTTCCCCTGCACATGAGCAAAACCACAGTGACCAATAGATCAGAAGAAGTCAATTGTTGTTTCCAATTATTTGCTTCTTCATGTATATTAAGTAAAACCATCTGGTAAATGCAATCAGTATTCTTCATGTTACTAAATAAATATAAAACAAGCGATCAAACTCCAAATCAACTCCTAAACTCACGAATTTCAATTTAGTTTCCCTTTGAACTGATGTAATGATCAGAATCAGAACAGCTCGCACAGAAAACAGATGTAATAATCAGAATCAAACAGAACATTTCACCTGTTTTCTGCCAAATATCTAGCTTATTCACCATTACCAAAATTGCACTACATTAGCATAGTACTAAGTCGCAAAAAAAGAAGTCATTAGCATAGTACTATAGTAGTGAGTCCCGGTCTTTGGAACATGATCAAATGGTGCATACACTGGTAACACGAATTGCAGAGCACGAGCGGGGCTCACAGTGAAAAAGGTGCTTGGCGAGGGTATCGTTGGGCATGAACTCGGCGACGAGCAGGCGTTCGTCGCCGTCGCAGCAGTAGCCGATCAGGCTGGCCATCCTCCGGTGCCGGAGGCCTCCGACCCCCTTCGCCTCCTCCTGCAGCCAAATCAACTAGTACCTGTGAAAACTGAAAACCCAGGCACACCAAGGCCACGCGAACGAGGTTCAAAAGTAAGCAATCGAACTTTTGCTTGCTTGCCTACCGCGAACTGCTTGGGGTCGGGCCACGCGAGCTTGGCGAACTTCTTCACGGCAATTGCGCGCGGCGGGGCGCCGGCGCCGCGGGGTGCCTTGAGCTGGCCCCTGTAGACGAGGTTGGGTGCCTTCTCTCCGCTCTCGGAGACGATGTTCTCCGACGCGAACCCGGCCGTGGCCGCGTGGAGCTCCGCCAGCGAGAACTCGGCGAACACCGGGACGTCCCCCCCGGCGGCCCGGGCCGGGGGCGGCGCGGCCGCCTGGTGCGCGTTCAGGGAGAAGGACGGGCCGTTGTTCGTCGGTGGCGGCGGCGGGCGGTGGCGGTGGCGGTGGCCGTGGCGGTGGCGGGGCGGCTTCTCCGCCGCGTGGGGCCCCGGCCCCGGCCCCGCCCGCAGCGAGGAGCGGCAGCAACCCATCAAGTCGTCAAGTGTGAAAGGCGTGCGGCCACGGCCGGGTTCGCGCAGAGAGGAGACAGTTTTTGTAACTTGTTGCCCCTGATTCTGATTCTGATTCTCTGGGCTGGGCCTGGTTTGTTCGGTCCGGGGTTTTGGGTTTCCCCGCCGTGCCCGTGCGGTTCGTGTCTATGGACTCACCCGTGATATACGTTCAGACGGCTAGCAGGACCGCAAGGTGAGTACAGGACCGCAAGGTCGACTTCCCTTTTGCCGTTTCGCACGCAAACACGGCAGGGCCAGTTGACATGTTCAAAGTCACACAAACGCGGCGTGCAGGCCCAATTGATACTCCGGACTCGGACGTCGCTCGACTTCGACTCGACTGGTGTCCGAGCGAGCAAGTGAACTTTTTTTTTTTTTTTGTTAATCATCGAACACGGGAACTGTGAAGACGACACTCAGCAGAGTTCCGGCTCCAGGTAAAATAGTTTCAGATATTGAAACAGATTCTCCGGTGAAACGAAGCCGTTTTAGAAAACCATTTGGCTGAACAGTCTCTCCTGTCACGAGATGTATGACGAAGAGGGGAGAAATGTCTAAAATGCCTCTAGATATATTATTTGCTGTTTTTTTCTCCACCTCTATTTCTTTCTTTATTCTTTCTTTTTTCAATCCTTCTCCGCTCGCTCTCCTCAACAACAGAACAAGCATCCTTATCTTCTGGATAGAATTCTCTGCCATTATAAAAGATATGTATCTGGTATGTGCCTCACACATTAAAGTTCAGTGGTCTTGCCACTACTCTAACTTAGATACGTGTCCTCCATTCAAATTCAAATCGATTTTCTACTTGTATATATTTATTTATTAATTCCGCAAAAAAATAATATGATTTTTCTAAGATATATTAATCATATCAAATCATATTTTTTATGAATTAAATGAAAATAATTTTTATATAAAATTATAGATCTCGTCGAGATCTACAACTTTCTAGTTTTGAGTTTTTTCATTTGAAGTCATTAAGATGCTCAAAAAATTAATAATATATTTAGACTTAATGGTATTTTTTTGCGTTTTTTTCACACTCGCAGCTTGATTTGCAAGAGCCCAAACCGACTTTAAGTGGCATGGAGGACACGAAAAGTTAGAGTTGTATACCAAGACCGCTGAACGCTTCCATAGGCAATATGGCATGGCATTACGATCTTTTATAATGGCACATAGGAAATTCCCCCTATCTTCTTGCTCTCTCGACCCGAACAACGAGCCGCGGGCCCAGATGCGACCCAGCAAGACTGCCCCGCCGCCGCCCGCCGCCTCCTTCCAAAGACGTGTTCTGCTACCTGCTCGAGCACCTGGACCTACGCCGCGCGCCGCCTACTCTGGCCCCCCCGGCTCCGGCCGATCCGTGCGGCCATGCCCAACGCCAGCGTCGTGGAAGAAGCAGAGGCGAGGAAAAAGAAGCCACGACAAGGAAGAAAGGCAGGGGCATCCATGGCCAAATACACCGTGGGCCCGCGCGCGAGCTTGTTTTTTTTTGCTCCGACGGACGGCACTGGCATGTGAGAGCGAAAAATGCGGGGATCCTTCGTGGGAGCTGCTCGATTTCTACCGTTTGGCACTGGGAGCTGAAAAACAGCTCTAGGAGCT